TTTTTCTCTTATGAGTTGGCAGAAAGGGCTTAATATTATCATAGAGCTCGCCAAATAAATCCTTGGTCACTCTATAATTCGCCTGGAACTCCACTTCGTTCATTGAAAACGCTTTATCCATATACCGCATCAACCTACGCTCATTTCGCCTCTGTTTTAATTGTTTTTTATGTGAATTACGTAAAACACTGTACATAACGACTAATCGTGCCATATTATACAGTAATCTCTGACGAAAATTCACTTAAAATGCAAAACAATCTCTAAAAAGTTACACTTTTGTTATTGGAAAAATCACATTAAACAAACAATCGCAACTCAATATTGGCGCAATTGACAGCTGTCAAAACGTGCTCAAGAGTACCGTTTATTGCAATTCGAATCCAATCCTAATTTCATTTAGTTTCATACAATAGACACACAATTTAAAACCAATGTGGCGCTAGTGTCAAACTCGAGAGTACGAAACATTCAAATTCCAATGTCGATCGATCGGAATTAAAATCAAGAGTAAGCCTGCTGATGATGGAGCCGACAGACAGTCGAGGGAACTCCTCAGCGGTTTATATTAACTACCTTGTGTTTGTACTAAATTAATCAAGCCCAAGCATAGGGTAGTTAATAAAAACAGCTGAGGAGTTCTCTCGATTGTCTGTCGGCTCCATCATCAGGTCGACTCCAGACCGTTATCAAATTGTAGTGTATAAAAATCGTAATTGAAAAACATAATAGACTCATTACTCGCCCCTAAAATTTTCGAAAGTTCTCCTCGGTTCCTCTCGGTTTCCCTAGGATCCCATCATCAGATTCTGAGCTCATGGAAATGGGACCATTTCGAGAGTATAGATACCCTTTTAAACAAAATAAGATTTTTGGAAATCGGTGTACAAATGGCGGAGTAATGTGCGAACAAACAAAAAAAATCAATCAGCCGAACATAGCACCTCCTGCTTTTTTGAAGTCGGTAAAAAAGAGGCGCTCCATCGATTCCGCACACAGGCGCTGCCGGGGGTCGGCGCGGCCCTGTACGAAAGTTATAATTTATGATATAGGTTATAGATGAAATTTCACCGACGGCTTCCCGCATTGTTTTGTGGTTCTGTCGTGCCTGCGTCATTTGTGTATGCTCGATCGGGTGCCGCTTGGTTCGTTTTGGCGCCCCCACCGTTATGACTGTTAGGAGAAATCACATCTCCCTGTCTCACGCGTTTCTGCAATTGGATCGATTCCGTGCTATCTTCCTGGAGTCGGATGCGCATAGTGGCATTTCTATACAAATACTTTAGCACCTCGATATACCTGTAATCGCTTCGCTAGAGAGACTGCAGCACCGCCTTGGGTACTTAGGTACTCTTGAAACGAATCTCAATGTTAATGCAATTATAATCCAATAGAATCTCAATAATTATTCAATGTCAAAATTATACAATCCGTATTGTATGTAGCTGTTAAAATAGCATTCAGAGTACGGAATATATAGCTAAACTCCATTTAGTTCATTCAATATTCACGCAATACGGATGCAATGGGCGCTAGTGTTTAAACTCAAGAGTACGAAATTTCATAATACCAATGTCGATCGATTGGAATTGGATTCAAGAGTAAGCCCACAGGTCTTGATCGAATCAAAAGCTTTGTCATAGTCCACAAACGCCAAGCATAGTGGCAAGTTATACTCCTCGGTCTTCTGTATAACTTGCCGCAGCTTATGAATGTGGTCTACGGGAACCCGGCTTGTTCGGGAGGCTGGAGCTGGAAGTCATCAAGCCTGTGTTCGAAGTAAGTACCGGGACAGGTAAAATTGTGGGTACAAAATAATTCTTCAAGAATGACTTGGCGTTTGATGTTACTTCTTCATATTCATATTCATTTAATCATTTGCAAACATGGGTACATAATATATAGGTGTTAACAAAGTTTATAGGTAGTATATTCTTCGCGTCAAAACGGCTGAATACTGATCCTGTATGGAATTTGGAATAGTGGAAGATTATGTTCTGGTTTAACACATAGGTTACTTTTTGTCCCATGGGAACGCGGACGACGCCGCTGGCAGACTGAAGCTAGTATGACATTTTTGTTGCAACTCATTAATAAAGAAACTATTTTGTCTTAGTTTAATCTCTCAAAGCGGCATTTTTAGGTCATAAATTGCAATATTGGCAAATTGGTTAGCAAGAGACCTAAAAGTAGTAGCATCTTTTCGCCATCGACCCTCACGACAGCATATACATCCCCACCATATAGATGGTTGGGAGACCACAACTGTGCGCTTCTCAAGTAGCTTTCTGCCTCGCACAGCAATACTGTGGAATGATCTGTCGTCGGCGGTATTTCCGAACCGATACGACCTTCAAACCTTCAAGAAAAGAGCGTATTCCTTTTTAAACGGCCGGCAACGCACCTGTGACTCCTGTTGTTCTGGGTGTCCATGGGCGGTGCTGATCGCTTACCATCAGGTGATCCGTCTGATCATTTGCCTCCTATTCCATAAAAAAAGTAGAAAGTCCTACAAGATTACCTATGAGTGAGTTGTATAAAAAAGTTAAGTATTTGTCAGTGGGATAATTATAGTACCTACCCGTCGGGGCCCGTGGCAAATTCTTCGGATAGGCCCGCCGTTCCTAATACAAAAAAAGAAAAGTTCAGATGGAAACCTCTGAACAGGCCCAGGGGCACCTTCCATCCAGCTGATAGAATTGAGGACCTTGTCAAAAAATGGCGGGTCATTTGAATCACTAGGAGACTATCTAGAAGGGTATAAGAGTATAAAATCATCTATGCTGTCACTTCTAAGCTGTCCAACTGAGGGCAGATGAGAATTCAAAAGTACAGATAGGTAGTAAGAATTCAAATTAACAACGTCGACAACGAGATGTTTTTGAAATCTTGTCATCAATCGTCGCGTGAGTGAGGTTACCGGCGGCCCAATTACCCCCCTCCCTAGTCTATCGAATCCTCCACAATCCTCAAATTCCCAATTCCCAAAAGGCCGGTAACACACTTGTAACGCCTTGGTGTTTCGAGTGTCCATGGGCGGCGCGATTGCTTACCAGGTGATCCGTCTGCTCGATTACCGGCTTATGCTATAAAAAAAATTAAAAGAGGTCCCAAATCAACCGAGGTCCTCCCCACCCTATCCATCAATCAGTAAATGTTTTTACAGAAGGTGTGCGGACCTAGGGAGGTTCGAAAATGTCGTTATTTATTTAGCTAGAACTAGTCTTCGAGATATTCCATGTTTATGAGAATAGTAACAAAATTATATTGTTATCAAGAAATAACACACATTTAATATTATAAGCTTTTATTAACTATCTGTAATATTATAATATCCAACACATCTATATAGGAACACATTTGACATAAAACAAAATAAAACAAAAATAAAATATTGGTCTCACGATTTAATACTTCGAAACAACAGTAAAATAATTCAGAAAAACAATACTATTTACAAATTAAAAGAAAAATATGAAGATTATGCTTACAGCTAAAAAACCATGGATTTACATCTGAAAAAAAAAACTACAAAAAAAATATTTGACCAACTCATTTTCGCGGCACACACAGAGTTGTCACAGCGAAAAAAGTTACCCAAATATGGGGAAAATTGTAACGGGAAATATTTAAATCTTACAAATGAGGTTGTAACTCTTATAAATACTTTTTTGTTATAATTATATTTTATATATTATTATTTTACCAACTTTATGTAATGGACATACAATTGGCACTAGAATGGAGGGATCTCTTTTCAATAACAACTTTTCTGAATACAAAACTACATCTGTCATTCATATTACTCTTCATATAATTATACAATTTTACGTAAAAGTCGGTAAAAGATTTGAATATTTTTTATTTAAGAAATTGTAGAAAAATTTAGACGAGTATATTTAAGTATATGGTAATAATGTTATAGGCCATTTCCTATTTAGGCAGCTTAAACACATCGTCAAAATTTTCCTCAATTCCTTCTAAATCTAAGCGCTGAGTACAAGCTCCATAGTTTATTATTATCGTTGTGTTTAATAATTGCATTGTAATAAGGCCATGGTTCCTAATTTAGGCTATTTAGTTTATAAAGGGAGTGCATATTTAGTTTCTTTACTTTACAGCGGTTTCAAAAATATAATACTTATACCGAGCAATTTTTCCTTTACCTTTTTGTGTGTTTGAGTGGATCCACGCGAGACACAATGTATTTTCTACTGTGTCTCATATCGTTGCATTCAAAAGGTTAGCTCATTAGCTCGAATATTGATCTTTTGGCCCGTTTTGCTCCATAAGTGAGTTATTTTGACAAGATAGGAATGTTTTAATGTCTAAATACGCACTCCCGTTTCATATTTTTATCTATTTAATAAATATTATCATCACCCACTAAGTTTCTTTGTATCGGAGGCACATTTTCGGTTCTCAAACTCTCTTAACATTAAATTCTACATATATAAAGTATACATAAGCTTTTATATAAGCGGTAAGAGTATATATTTGCGTTTTAAACACCGAATAAAAAGTAATCGAGTTCTTTCAAATCGATTAGTTTAGAATTGAACGTTAAGTCTTTATCTATTGTCTACGCGTCGAGGCACCGTTGTTACAGTTATTAAATATATCGAAAATCATTTCTTAAACCTCTAGGTATTAATATTTTAACAATAAATAGTTTTGGAATTGATTTGAGCTCAGAACGCGAACTATGACATTCCTACGGCACCAGTAACATGACTTTAAGTCTAAATTGTAATTAAAACGATGTTTTAGAATTAGTTTTCACAAAAATACATGAACATTCATTGACTAAATTTACACAATATTTGTCACAAATATTTGTCAAATCTTAGACAAACATTTATCACAAACAAGTGTTGCCATATAAAGGAGAAAAATTACCCATGATTACCAAATATAACAGATTGACATTTCAACAAAAAGTCATTACAAAAAAACATCACTTAACTGACTAAGTACTAAAACACCGTCTTATTACAACCTTACTCGGCAGCGTTGATGGTGATAGTCTTGCCTTTGGGATCATCAAAGCGGTCCATGGTCCTAATGTCCATCATCATCATGATTCCGTAGAAGGTGATGCTGAGGAGTATGAAGACAACGAACAGACCAGCCCAGATGGGTGCAGAGAAGAAACCGACACAGTTGAAGGAGTCACCGAATTCTTGTGTTGTGTTGCTATCGAAGAATGGTTGGACCTGTGAAGAGAAAATTGTATTTTCAACATAATGTAACATTACACCTTTTATCCCCGAAGGGGTAGGCACATTATGCCACTGTACAATGTAACACCCACTTTTCACTATTTATGTTATGAGTCCCATGTATAGGGGGTGAGCCTATTGCCATATACCGGGCACGATTCCAGACTACTATTGAGAAATTTTTAGAAAACCCAGTAATACTTTGTCCACCCCAGGAATCGAAACCGATACCCCTTAACTCGGCCAATGAGGCAGTCCAACTTTTGTAATTAAGTTTAAAATCGACAATAAGGCTATATTATCTGTTGTTATATCATTATTGACACATCCAGGCTTGGAATCTACCTATCCATCCTGAGCCAGTTACAACTTGGCCTAGAATATGCTTAAAAAATACATTCATAATTATTTATTACATAGCATTGTCCATTTTTCATATCATTTTAGTATACATTATAATTATGTAGTCTGTAAATTCTATTGATTGTTTAACCCCCCGAGCGTCCTTGTGAGCACCCGGTGGATCATAAGAAAAAATGCTCCATGATGCCTTTCTCTTTTATAAAATCTATTATTATTATTAATGTTATGTTTTTATTTTGACTGTATTTTTTATTTATTTTTATTGTAATGATCCTTGTTTTCGTGTGCCAAATAAATACATATTCTTTCTTTCTCCAAATGTCACGTGTGCACCCGTTGGATCATAAGGAACGCGGACGCTCGACGGGTTAATTTGTTTTTTTTTTTTTATTTTTCTTCTGTTTTAGTTTTCTTTTATTGTGCATCTACCACCCATTCTCAGGTTATTTTCAACAATTCCATCCAAAGGTTGTCTGGAAGAAGTCGCCGCATGTGGTAAGACCACCCATTGTACTCAAATAACTATTGCAATGTTTACAATATTTTTTTCTTCGTGTGCAATAAAGTATAAATAAATAAATAAATTCATACCTTCAAATCCTCAAAATCAACAGTGTAAGTCTTCGTTTCGTTCCTGCTGGAAAAGCTGACGTGCTGAGCGCAGCGGTAGGAGAAGTCTACCAGAGCAAACACCTCCTCATCAGGGTAGAGCACGTCGGTCAAATCACCAATCGTTAGGACCACTGTGTCTGTGAAAATGAAAGAAAAATAATAGTATATAGTGATGTTATATATACTAATATTATAAAGAGGAAAGATTTGTACCTATTTTTGTATGTTTGTAATGAATAGGCTCAAAAAAAATGTGCCGATTTAAAAAATTCTTTCACCAATAGAATGCTACATTCTTCCAATTTGACATAGGCTACATTTCATTTTGAAAAAAATTAGGGATCCTTGGTAAAATTTGAACAATGTAACCGAAGGTGTAGAAAAATGAGTCTTAAAATGTCTTTCCTCGAATGCGCTGCCGAAACTATTAGCGATAGAACAAAATAATGTACAACAATATTGAAGAACATCATAATGTCTACAAAAAACTCCGCGGTAGCATATGTCCAACTATTGTAGTTATGTCACTACAACAATCGAAATTTCCAAAAATAAATAATTGTCTACCCCGTGCGAAGCCGGGACGGGCTGCTAGTGTTATGTAAAATGCTACATAGCATTGATGACTGCCGCGGAAGGCCTAGCGGGTTGACTAGGGTCCGGCTCGAAGGGCAGGAGTAGGCACAGGGTGGTTTTTAGTCAGTAAGAGTCTCGACACTCTCTCTCACCAAACCCAAGGCGGGAGAAGTCAGTGGATGAATTTCCCCTCAATAAAAAAGCATTGATGACTATAGATTGATTGATGTGGTAACACCCTAATATTTATATTAGAGAATGCCATCTGGCCGAAGTTCTCTTCTAGTTTATATAAGTTGACTTGTGAGAAAAAAATGTTTACTTAACTGTATACATTATGAAACTAACTGTAGAAATAACTTTAATAATAAACGAGGAACACAATAGTTAATTATTATCAGTAGTACGCATATTTGTATGAGATTCTTATTAGTCATAGTTATTGTCTCACGGTGGTATGCTACATATATACATATAGTACATCTGTCAGGCATTTAGTTTTCAGTTTCAAATCAAAACATTGAATTTTTCAGATCCCTTTTTCATCATAATTTACTTTTAAATTGGGTAGTTTCTTAACTGGGTCAAAAATAAATTATGTTGATTTTTCACTCCAATTGAATATTGAAAAATAGTCACACTTCCATTCATTGATTTGGCGATATAATTAATTTTCGATTTATTCCAGCATTTTGTTTTTGAGTGCACGGTTGGTGCGGTGGCTGGGCAACCGGCTGTCGTGCAACGTGTCGCGGGTTCGATTCCCGCACGGAACAACACTTTGTGTGATCCACAAATTGTTGTTTCGGGTCTGGGTGTCATTGTATATGTGAACTTGTATGTTTGTAAACGCACCCACGACACAGGAGAAAATCCTAATGTGGGGCAACGTTTTATAAAATAAATAAAAAAATATAAGTGTGCCATTTGAACCGAAAATATGATGACGTCATAAGCTGGTATTTCGTACAAAATTCATAGAACAGTATCGTTTTTGACGTTCAGATAAAAGTATTGAATTTGACAAGTTGTCAACTACCGTATTATGTTGGTGTAATTTCTGAGATTATTTAGACACCAAAGACACCAATGACATACAATGAAGTACAACTTCAGGGCAATTTGATAACAAGTTGTCACATTACCAAGAGGCAAAGACAAAATCTGAAAAATTACATAACATGAAAAAATTCAAGTTAAAAATTCAAAACATATTTTGTAACTTGTCATTTGCACACTTTATGCTAAAAACATTATTTTATTTTACAATTAATACAACCTGACATAATTATATCAACCAGATTATTGATATATTAAAGAAGCGTCAAACTAAAAGTAAAAAAAATCGACAAGCATGCATGAACCGACTGATGACTGATGAAGTGCTATGTAAGAATCATAGCAATCACTACACATGATGAAATTGTTTAAACAAAATGACAAAGACAGAAGCTGAAAAAAGTATTCTATTATCTTTCCAGAACGCAGAAGGGTCACTGGTTCCTTCGCCTAATCGCACTAACAATTGAACTAATGATGTGACTGATTGCCAATAGAAAAAAAAACTAAAATATAAATAATGGAACTACTAAAACAAAATCACATCAGTAGAGCCGTATAGAGCCCAAAGGCAAACTAGGCAAGTGCCAAGGGTGCACTTTAGTTAGAGGCTCCACGAGATGTGCGTGTCCAACTGTACAGAGTGGAGGCAGTGCCAACATAAATTAAAGGGGCATATAAGGTGCTCGCCTAGAAAGCTCTCTGGGTTTAATCGGCCTCTGCATATTGAAGAATCAAATCAGTCAATCAAAGATAAAACAATCTTTCAAAGATCATGATGATTAAGTGCAGGTAATGTAATCCAACTTACCGAAGAACCAGTATCCTCCTTTAGCGTTGAAATTCAGCAGCAGAGTAGTATTGTCAAAAACGAAGGTAGCGTTTACATATGTAGTGTTTAGCTCGGAAGAATGATTTGTAAGGTCTCCTAAGGTCCTTGAGTCATTACCGCTGATAACTTTCACGGTTTTTGTGATCATGCGGAGACCGTCCACCGTGTACATACGAGATTTAGCTGCGTTTTCTTCGACAGCACGGCGAGGACGAGACTTTGAGGCAGGGATAGTCCATGACGGGTAGTTAGCAGTGTAGATACCAATAGTGTTCAGCTCTTCGGGCATGTCTCCCATGGTAGAGTGCATGAAATCATCATGGCGGCGCAGCATCTCTTCCCGCGACTCACCGTCGCGCGCGTCATTCAGATGGATGAAGATGAAATTACCACCGTGCAATTTGTTTAATCCGAGAATGTCAGACGATTCCTCAGTGACGTAAATGTTCGCAGCCGAGTCTCCAGCAGTACGGTTCAAGGCCTTCAGCGCATTCTTTACGTTAGGCAAGTATACTGCCTCATCAATGTTATCATGCAAGTATGGGAACGATGTTTCACCATTGCTATTTTTCTGTGAAAAATCTTCAACTGACAGTCTTGGTTCGATGAAAACAAGAGTCAGAGTGCCCGGTACTATTACCTGCTCGACTGCAGCAACAAATTCCTCGCTGCTGTATGTGGTAAGAGGATTCGCTTTAACGGAGCTCTGGATCGAATCGCCCCACATGAACACTGGTACTTTGGATGCATAACAGCTAATTACACTTAGAACTAATAACGGGAACACCACACGGCAAAACGCCATTTTTAAGGCTATATCTACTGGACGCAAAACGGACTAAAAGTTAGTATTTTAGCCCAAAATTGTCATAAAAAGACAGCGTTCGGGCGATGACGATTGACCATCGGTCATGTGAAAAGTGATCATATGATAAAGTTTGACGCCTTGTCTATGCTTTATAATGTTGCCATAAACTTATTTTTAAGATGCCGATAGAATATAAAAAATATGAAATTAGTGTACAAATTTCTATATTTTGGGTAAAATTTTAGATTATAATTACTTTTTAGGATTAAATAATACGAGATATATTTATTATAATGATTAAAAACGCTATTGAAGCTAAAAAAAAATATTTCCAATCGGAAGTCAAATTGTTTGTTTCAGATAATACTCCCGTAATAGAGGCAAAAAGTCAAAGGCTAAATCAATGTTTTTATGGACGAAATTCATTGATAAATTAAACTTTGACTACACGCATTTTTATCCGTCGTTTTCATAATGTTTCTTAAATTATTCTCGTTTAAATACTGTTATATTTTATTTTAACTATGTTTTTAAGGTGTTTTGATTTTGTCTGGAATTTGTTTGGCATTTTAAAATTATTTCATTTGCATGAACTCATAAGTTAGTAAGTCTTTAGTTAGCACATACAATATAAATGGGATTCTTATTAAACTGTATGCAGATGCTGGAACTTGACTAGAAGAATCGGGAAAAAGAAATTAATATCACCAACAAATTCATCTCTCGTAGTGGGCAAGTTGAATAGCTAAAAACTCTTTGGTTTCTTAAAAAATAATTTGTAACGACCAGACAGTGCTGTTCCCCTATACTTACTATACTCTTTGCAGTGCAGCAAAGAGTATAAATAAGTATAGGAAGTGCAGACAGAAAAATAGTTGTCAGACAAAAACCTACATCTTAGGACTTCGAAAATAAATAATTATTATAAAGAATAATGTTCGTAATACGTACTTTATCGTTTATTTTCTTATTACACGCAAGTTTAGCTAACAAAAACACTATTCCAGTTTTTTTGTTAGACCATGACCAAATAATGTCACACATTCAAGTTGATCCGAATCCCTTTTCCAAGTTGACAAAAACCAACTTTGCGGATATCATAAACGATTCCAGAAAACGATCGGACGCCACCATAATTTTTGTCGAAGATTCTTTTAGCACCGAAGATATAAGTACTAAGGACAAATTGGGCACTCCATATATCAATTTACGGAGCGGCCTAATAGATAATAAGGTGAAATACTTCCCATCAGTGATCGACCCCTACAAATTGCTGAGTCAAATATTCCAACCCCATGAAAGCAACGTATATTACCTCTCGAGTCGAAATAAATTTCAAGTTATGAATAATTTTGAGTATATCTACGTTTATTTCCAAGATGGACCCTATACGAATGAGACGAGAGCTCAAATTTTAAGAAGACATGATGCTATTATTAGGGAGGTGGTTTTTATTGTCCGTCAGTTGAAAACAGGTCCAGTCGTGGCGTATTACACCGGTAAATTGAATCCCATTGTGGTTGAAAAAACTGATTTTTCCATGAGGAAAACGAATCCTGCGCCAAGGAAGAAAGGAGTGCTTGTGGCGTCCTCTGGAGCCCTCTTCAGGCTTTTTGGTAAGAAACAATATCTGTCTATATCAACTGCCTCGTTGGCCGGGTGGTCGCAAGTGCGACTGCCGGTCTCGGATTCAATTCCCGGATCAGGCAAAGTATTACTGGAGTTTCTAAAATTCTCAATAGTAGCGTGGAGTTTGGAATTGTGCCCGGTATATGCCAATAGGCTCACCCCCTATTACAAGGGACTCATGACATAAATAGTGAAAAGTAGGTGTTACATTGTACAGTGGCATTATGTAAGTGCCGTAATGAACTCCCGAGGCATAAGTCTCTCATAGGCGCCCCTAATTTTTTTCACCGCTGCCGTTACTTATGGGCGGTTGGTCATGCGGATCTCAAGGCCATCCCATCTTTAGCCTTAGACTGGCGCCTTAGGCACTTGCCTCGTTTGCCTTACACGATATTACGACTCTACATAGATTTTTTTTATTTTCATTTATTTGGACTCCCAACAAAAGTTAAGTACACTTACATCCTAAAAAATATAATCCACCTGACGTTACAATAACCTTGTGATCCTTCACACATCATGCGAATACAAACATACTTACCTACAGCAATTGTATAAAATTAAATTAAATTACAGAAATGTCAAGAAAATATAAAAGAAATACAATATCAAAAATCCAAATCACGACATAACAATATACCTATATAACTAAAGTAAAAAAATAATTAAACAAATAAAAAAAAATCGGTTGAATTTTTATTGGAACAAGCCCGCCACAACCTCCCAAAACCGCTGTAACTCCTGAAAGCTGGCGGCCATAGATATTAAAAAAAAGTAATCTCAAGTTGGGGAACCATTGTAGGTACCTACAGGTTGGACTTATTTCCATCTTTAAGCAGTGAAAATAGTTTCTGAACAGTCCAAAGTCGTATTTTGTTCAATTTTTTCGGGGTCAGGTTAAAAGTGGAATTACTCAACTGCTTCATATTAAACTTTTAATTCAACTTTCGCGTTATTTTTTTTCACCCAATACTTGCAAACCCAGAAGTACCTACATACTACGTTCTACAACAATGTCTCGACTGTTCAATTATGCTTTTATTTTCGTAGTTTCCAAAAACGATGACACAATTTAATATGGCATTCAGAACTCTCTTTATCCGAGTGTATTTTTTAAGGTACCTATAGGCCGGTATCGGTAACACATGGGTTACCTGATGGCATCAGCGCCATGTGAAGTCACAAATGTTTTGTCGGCGTCATGGGGTTAAAGATTTGAGGATTTTGGGATTGGAAAGCTTGGGCCTCCGGTAACCTCCCTCACACGACAAAACACAAGATTTGTTTCAAGTCAGTTTTTGTGTAGTATCACTCCGGTCGAACGTATGCGACATATAATATTGTGTTTTAATTTTGAACCATTTTCTTTAGGAGTGCATGCAGCCTCGCCGACACGAAGAGCCTTGTTCGAAGAAGCTCCGAGAGTCTCTGAAGAAACGTTCACAAGACGCACACTGTCCACTCGAGTGTCATATCCAGTATTTGATTTAGAATTCGCGTTTAGTTTTCGACGAGACAGCTGGCGATGGGGTAATACAATTTCTTTTTAATTAATATTGGTTACTCCTGTGCGGGTCACCCACTGCTCGGCTCCTATTTTTATACAAATCGATTCGGTCCTTCCGAAAATTAGAATTGAATAATTCATTTTGTGTTGAATACCATTTGTCGAGAAAGGCAATGCGTATTATATCAACTAAAAATTGAGGGTTACTCGCGTGAAAATACTGAGAAGAGCTCCACTAGTTTTGAACCACAGAGGTGTTCTTCCTCGTGGGCAGCGTGTGCGGTCAGTCAGTATATTTTCACGTGAGTAACCCGCGATTTTTAGTTAACTTAGTATATTCATATTCATTTAATCATTTGCAAACATGGGTACATAATATATATATAGGTGTTAGTATGTCTCATGATCCTTATCCTTACTAGTCCTTACTAATATTATAAATCGGAAAATGAGTTTGTTTGTTTGTTTGTTCCGACTTCACGCCGTAACTACTAAACCGATTGCATTGAATTTTTGCAGACGTAAAGTTGGTAGTCTGGATTAAATAATAGGGTACTTTTTATCGCGAAAAAAATTTATATTCCCGAGGGAAAACAAAAGTATTGGTATAGATGGCGCTGTATGTATTGGTATATGTCACATAGGCTACTTTTTATCCTTTTGTGACGCGAGCGAAGCCCCGGGTAAAAGCTAGTAGTCTATTTAACATCACACTACGATGAATAGGAACCGAGCAGAGTGGGTAAAGCCGCGCGAGAGTACCTAACTAGTAGGTATAAGATATGAACTAATAAAGTAAACATATAATCATTAAGTACCTACACACAGATAAGTATACTACTCAAAACAAAATAAGGACCACGATAGTCAATTTCACATATTTGTCTAAGCGTAACTGAAGAGGTGATGGTTGCTAAAATGAACCATTTGATTGTGTAATCGACGTATTTTGAAACTGCCAATCGCTAATCAGCATGAAACTAGCGTGGTGATTAATGCTCAAATCTTCTCCATGATGAGGCTTTATCCAGAGACGGATGGAACAAGCAACAAGCACCTCATCATCATCATCATCATTAACAGCCGGAAGACGTCCACTGCTGGACAAAGGCCTCCCCCTTAGCCCTCCACGTCGAACAAGCAAGCACCTCATAGGCGCTCCTAATTGTTTTGGCATCGCCATCACTCTATAAGCACGCGCGGCTCGTGGCGCCAGTCAGTAACCTGGCGCCCTAGGTACTTGCCAAGTTTGCCTTAGGTATAATTACTTGGCTGATTGTACATTTAACATAACATCACGCCTTTTTATCCCCGAAGGGGTTGGCAGAGGTGCACATTACGGCACTTAATGCCACTGTACAATGTAACACCCACTTTTCACTATTTATGTTACGAGTCCCATGTTATAGGGGGTGAGCCTATTGCCATATACCGGGCACATTTCCAGACTCCGTGCTACTACTGAGATTATTAAAAACCCAGTAATACTTTGCCGGCCGACCCGGGAATCGAACCCGAGACCCCTTGCACTTGCGGCCAACGAGGCAGATTGTACATTCATTCTTAATATTAGATCACATTGCGATATATGAGGGCGGCGAAGAGGTCGGGCGTACGGATATGAATATAAGTGTACCATGGAACTATTCATATTACTGCCCTGAGCCGATCAGTATCTACAACACACGAGATGGAAGTTCCTTGACTATAAGCCAGTATCAGGTAAGGTGGTGTCAAGTTTCTTTAGTTTACTTACGACAGATAATAAAGCTGACTACTGCACAGTTGGCGCGGTAACTAGCCCACTGGCTGCCGCGCAACGTATAGCTGGTTCGATTCTGCGCGGAGCAGCTCTTCGTGT